TGATACTAGGACGGTGGTGGATCCTGGTATTGGTTGCATTCCATACAACACCCAAAACTTAGTACAACGCTTAGAAATTAGAAAAGAACGAAACGCTTGTGAGAAGTGATGCTGCACACTTGATGTGTTCCCAGTTCCACGAGGCAGAGCCATTTCTGCGCCTCTTCATTAATTGAGAAATTATTAGGAGAACACCCTTCTGTGGACAACGCGCGCCACACCATCTGCTTTGGATGAGCTACCGACTGATTACAAGAACTCTGAGAAAAAACTCCTTTGCACCAAATTAAACCATCAGCAAAGAAATGATACCTATAGGTGTCATACCGGCCATTGCCGCAACTCCATCATGATATCTGTAGAGATCGCTCGTCGCGAGTGTTAATCAAGAAGAGAAGAGAGAAAATGTTAGCGTGGGAAGAAATGAGATTAATTAGCGAGTCCTATATGAAGAAATGAAGACAGCTATTAGTCGGATAGATGTGACTCCTTACCAAGCTAATGTGTTTGCATGAATTCAGATGTTGACGTAGAAAGAAACCAAAGAGCATGAAAGAGGGAAAGAAATTTCAGCTGATGGTTTTTCAAATGTGCAGGTGCAAGGATACAAGGACGTTACAGAGCTCTTTCTAACCAGATGCGAAGCAAGCGCCTCAGATGATTGCTCGCAAGCAAACTGCGGAAAGTGCAAGAACAGTGCATAAAAAAGACAAAGAACATTTGATATCAATAAATAGTGTTATTTATATTTATCTATTTATTGTTTTAATCCAAAGAACCCGTCTTCACATCTACTTGTGGATCGTATCACTTTTGCATTCGATTCATATCCTCGCATCCATCACCTACGAGCCAGGATCGTCGAACCTTTCGCATGTGGATTCGGCTGCTACTCGGTGTCGTCAACGGTAGGATACCGCAAATCATTGTTCGGACGAAGTATCCATTGAATCAGCTCTACGGTGCTCGTTATGGTTGAATTCATGTTGCACGTCTAAGAGGAAGATTTACATTGGACGCTGTGTCCTTCTGCACTTTGTAGCCCAGCAAGGGGTATCTACGTCCAACGATGAATTTCTGAAGTTTCTAGAATTACGAGTTGTTGTTGATTGTCGTGAACTTCTGCAGGTCGTTCGAACGTGCCTGAAACGATTTCAGTTGTTCATGAAGACACAAAGAACCCGTCTTTACATCTACTTGTGGATCCCAGCACTTTTCGCATTCAATTCATATCTTCGCATCCGTCATCCACGAAGATCTTGGAAGCTTTCGCATGTGGATTTGGCTGCTACTTGGTGTCATCAATAATAAGATACCGGAAATCATTGTATGAACGAAATGTGCAATGAATCACCTCTACGGTGCTCCGATAGAATTGAATTCATGTTGCATGTCTAAGGAAAGATCTACGTTAAACGCTCTGTCTTTCTCTGCTCTGTAGCCCAGCAAGAGATATCATCGTCCAACGATAAAATGGTTCCTGAAATTGTGAGTTATCGTTGATTATCATGACCTACTACAGCTCTATCGATCCACATAAAGCCTTGGATCTCTATGTAGCTGCCTGAAGCGATTTCAATCGTTCGTGAAGACCTGACACAACGTGGGACTTTACTTCTAGAATGCCACCCCACATAATACTCTCATCTTCGTCGCAATTTCGAAATGGAGGACTCAAAATCTGTGTGAGGTCCATCCCATATCAATCGTAAACCTACGAACGTGAACGTTATTAATTCCCAAGACCGACTTTCTGTTGACCTCGGCATTAATTGATAATTCAATGTTTTTCATCAATAAGCAGACACGAGGTTGTTAATATAGAATTTATTAGAACACAATTGCTGACGTTTCGG